GTAGGTAGATACCTTAATGCTTTCAATTAATGCAGTTAGGATTTGTCTACGCTAAAGTGTTGTTCAAGGAAAGATGGTGCGTCAAATCCTCATTTAGTTTTTTGGCATAGAGAACTGCATGTGTTAAAGCAATACAAAGTTGTCCAGATGACAAACTGAATCTAATTACCAAAGTAATCAAATCTAACATAGAATTCGTTAAATGATTATTTTAGTGATGTGAAAAGTGATTCAAGTAGTTGAATATGATCCGGATTTGATTTGTTGTTATGTCACACCCTACTTTAGCAGTGCATCATGCAAAAAATTTACTAGATGCTAAGTTCTACTTCTATCCAGGTATTTTCTTTCACTGACATTACTTTCCTATGGTTGCTGCCATGTAGGCGGGAGGATTGAAATTTTACTTCCCCGAAGGATATTTTAGTGCATAGAGTTGTTACAAGTATGTTCATCACTTACCCTTTGTTGCTGCATGTGGGTTCTGCATGATGGTTGAAAAAGCATGCAAATTTCAGCCTTTAAAATTTCGTTGCATAAGAAATCTTGTGGCAGTAAAAAAGGCGTTGAAAATGCATGCAAAGTGCAGAGTTGAAAGTGTGGTTATTTGGCAAGATGGTGCAGCCGAAGATCTTGACATAAATGGATTTTGCTTCTGCATGTATCCATGAAATTAAAGGTTAAGATTTTGAAGGCCATTGCATTTATTGTGCATCGTTGAATTTTGATCTTGCAGCTCATTTCATTAATTTTGGGTGGTGGATTTTTGGCTATAAAAGCCATTTGGCCATTCGGCAAAGCAACCAAGAGACCAATCCAAAGCAAAGTGAGCTCTAGAAAATACAAGAGTTTTGTGAGTGCTTTAGGTGAGGGTGAGTAAGAGCAGAGTGGTTAAAATTACTTTGTTGAGTGTGTTTTTTGAGTGTCTCGTATTTTTCAATATTGCAAAAAAGGAGTTAGCAAGCAGGTGGAGTTTGAAGCAACAACTCCAGAAAAGGCAGTGCGAGATGACAATATTGTCCAAGAGAATCTAGATGTGGTGCAAGATCCAAAGCTAATAGATACTCCAATGGAGGTGGAGGCACTGAACAAACACAACAACAGTAAAATATTGCTACTAGTAGATAGAGGAGGGAGACCAAACCGCCTCAGAGATATGGCTATACAGATTATGTTGCCTATGCTCTATCAATTACAGAACCAGTGGAGGCTGAGGATCCCAACACTTATCGGGAAGCAATTACCAGTAAAGAATCTCCTTATTAGCTTACTGCCATGACAGAGGAGATTGAGTCTCTACATAAGAACTAGACATGGAAGCTTGTGAAGCCACCAAAGGGACAAAGAATTGTTGGATGCAAATGGGTCTTCAGGAGAAAAGAAGGAATCCCAGGGGTAGAGACACCAGATTCAAGGCTAGATTGGTTGTGAAGAGTTTCACACAACGAGAGGGTATTGATTTTTATGAGGTGTTCTCTCCTGTGGTAAAACACAGCTCTATTCATGTTTTACTTGCCATGGTTACTTTATATGATCTTGAGTTGGAGCAGCTTGATGTAAAGACTGCTTTCTTACATGGTGAGTTGGAGGAACGAATTTATATGTCTTAGCCAGAGGGATTCATAGTTTTAGGAAAAGATCATGTTTGTTTGCTCCAGAAATCCTTATATGGATTAAAGTAGTCACCTTAACAATGGTACAAACGATTTGACAACTTCATGGTTAAGAGTGTGATAGTTGCGTCTATCATAAAAGGCTTGGAGATGATTCTTGGGTTTATGTTGTTGTATGTTGATGACATGCTTATTGCTGCCAAAAGCATGTTAATCATTGATGATTTGAAGAGGCAGCTTAGTGGCGAGTGATGAGCTAAATTTATATATATTAATGTGAATTTTTATCTTGATATTATTGATATTTGGATGAGTTTTATGAGATTTTACATGGCTTTCATTCATTGTGCAGAAAAGAACTTGAATGCATAAAAATAGGAGTTTGTGGGATTAATTAAACATCTTTTGAAAGTTGAGAGACTAAATTGCAAGAAGAAGGGCGCCTCTTTGGACTTAAATGAATGAATCTTGAGTTTTGGGATCTAATTGCTCATTGTACAAAAGTTGGAAGACTAGATCTGCTATTCTACCATTGAAGAAATTGTAGAGAGACCAAAAACTCGACACGGGTGTACTGTCGACATATAATAGGGGTGTCGATACCATGTCTTAAGCATCCAGAATTAGACTATATGTTTCCTATTTTGTGTCGACACGTAATTCGGGTGTCAACACCATGCATTCAGTGTCCAAAATTCAAGTTTCTTATTTTATTCTAAGTTTTAGTTCTATTCCAACTAGGGTTTTTAAAATCTTATAAATATTCATCTAAATTCAGAATTGAAAGAGCTTTGGGAGGCTGGTGGCAGCCCTCTTTTGGGCATTACTGAAGATCAAGATAGAGGTTTCATCAACAATAGAAGATCAAGGAGTTTAATTCTTTCAAATTGGATTTTGTTTTTCCTTAGATTCTTTTTATCTATTGTTAGATATTCGAATGTTCATAATTATGATATCAAGTTTTATTATTTTTATTATAAACTAATTTAGTCAATTAGGGCTAAGATGTAGCCTAATCAATTCAATATGGGTTTTTATGATTTTTTCACTTTTGAAATTATTATTCCATGATGAGTATATATTATTGTTCTTAATGCTTTTTAATGCTTGATCACCATTAAAATTGATTTGGAGAGCATAATTAAGACCGAGAAGAGATTTTATACAATAGCTTCTAATAAAATATACCATGAATTGAACGAAAGCTATAGATGGACCAATGTGATTTGTGCAGTATTAGTGATAAGTGGACTTAATTTTCTATGTAAACTAGAAAATTTCACAGAACATAATGTATCTTTAGCTATTTAAATTCACATAGAGATATAGTGAGTTAATAGATTAAGATAGGTTTGATATAACTTGAGAAAGTATATCAAATAAGATATGAAATCCCGCTGTCATATGAATAGTAATATCTTAAAAATATAATAATTGAAAATCCATATTCATTGATTATGGTAAATTCGATGCCTTAGTACCTCATATCTTGATTAGTTTTATTTTAACTGTTATTTTCTTTTTATTAATTTTAATTATGGGTTTTTATGATTTTTACACTTTTAAGATTACTATGCCATGATGAGTATATATTATTGTTCTTAATGCTTTTTAACGCTTGATCACCATTAAAATTGATTTGGAGAGCATAATTGCAACCAAGAAGAGATTTTATGCAATATCTTCTAATAATATATATCATAAATTGAACGAAAGCTAAAGATGGACCAACGTGATTCGTGCAGCATTAGTAATAAGTGGACTTAATTTTTACGTAAACTAAGGAATTTCACAGAACATAATGCATCTTTATCTATTTAAATTCATATAGAGATATAGTGAGTTAATAAATTAAGATAGGTTTGGTATAACTTGAGAAAGTATATCGAATAAGATAGGAAATCCCGCTATCATATGAATAGTAATATCTTAAAAATATAATAATTGAAAATCCATATTAATTGATTATAGTGAAGTCAATGCCTTAATACCTCATATCTTAATTAGTTTTATTTTAATTGTTATTTTCTTTTTATTAATTTTAATTAAAGTTTCTTTCTTTTCGATTGTTCAAATAAATTTAGATTAATTACTTTGGTAATTAGTTAACCACAATTTTCGTGTGCTCGACACTCTACATATCATTATATTGCTTGGAGCGACTAGTACACTTGTTAGGGTAATTTTAGCGCATCAACAAGTTTGAGATGAAAGAGTTGGGTGCAGCTAAGAAGATATTAAGAATGGAGATTCACAGGGACCACAAGGGAGGTAAATTGTTTCTCTCCCAAAAGAAGTACATTGAAAAAGTACTTGAGCGGTTTGGTTTACATGAAGTTAAGGCTATGACTACTCATTTGGGAGCACATTTTAAGCTTTCCTCAAATTTGTCACCAGAAACAGAGGAGGAAAAGAAGTATATAGCATGTGTCCCTTATGCGAGTGCTGTTGGGAGCTTAATGTATGCTATGGTATGTACTCGTCCTGATATTTCACATGTAGTTAGTGTGGTTAGTCGATATATGGCTAATCCGGGTAAAGGACACTAGGAAGCTATGAAGTGGATCCTCCGATATTTACGAGGCATGGTAGATGTTGGACTAGTCTACGATTGGAGTGTTGATCCAAGTGAAAATGTAGTAGAATTCATCGACTCTGATTTTGCCGGTGATTTGGACAAAAGGAGATCAACTACAGGATATGTCTTTACTCTCTCAGGGTGTGCCATTAGTTGGAAAGCTACATTGCAATCAACAATTGCCTTGTCAACAACTAAGGCAGAGTACATGGCAATTACTAAGGCAGTAAAGGAAGCATTATGGTTGAAGGGTTTGGTCAGTGATCTCAGGGTAGAACAAAATGAGGCAATGGTGTTTTGTGATAGTTAGAGTGCCATTCACTTGAGGAAGAACACCATGTACCACGAGAGAACCAAACACATTCAAGTTCGGTATCACTTCGTCCAAGAGGTTGTATCCAATGGAGATGTGCTCGTTGAAAAGATATCAACTGACGAGAATCCTGTGGATATGATGACAAAGCCGGTAAGTGGAATCAAGTTCAAGCATTGCTTGGACTTGATTAGTGTCCAAAGTGCTTAATGCCCCTCGGGGCATATTGGCACCAGGGGAATGAAGCTATTGGTTCTGAATCTTATTTTTTGAATGCTCGCCAAGGTGGAGATTGTTGCTGCATGTGGATTCTGCATGGTGGTTGAAAAAGCATGCAAATTTCAGCCTTTGAAATTTGGTTGCATAAGAAATCTTGTGGCAATAAAAAAGGTGTTGAAAATGCATGCAAAGTGCAGAGTTGAAAGTGTGGTTATTTGGCAAGATGGTGCAGCCGAAAATCTTGACATAAATGGATTTTGCTTCTGCATGTATCCATGAAACTAAAGGTTAAGACTTTGAAGGCCATTGCATTTATTGTGCATCATTGAATTTTGATCTTGCAATCCATTTCATTAATTTTGGGCAGTGGATTTTTGGCTATAAAAGCCATTTAGCCATTCGGCAAAGCAACCAAGAGAGCAATCCAAAGCAAAGTGAGCTCTAAAAAATACAAGAGTTTTGTGAGTGCTTTGGGTGAGGGTGAGCAAGAGCAGAGTGGTTAAAATTACTTTGCTGAGTGTGTTTTTTGAGTGTGTCTCACACTCAAAATAACTATGAGTAAAATTTGGGTGTACTTGGGGATTGTGTATTTTTCTAAGAGTATCACAAATTGTACCTCCCTGTTTTAATAGTGAATTTTTCCTTGTGAGTACCGTGGACGTAGACTCAATTAAATTGGAGCTGAACCACGTAAATTCTGTTTTTCTTGTGGTGATGCATTTTTTTATTTCATTAATTTCTTAATCTTGTAGTGAGTTAACCACACACTCTACAAGTGTACACAAATCCATACTTTGACAACTTGGTCAATTTCCCCTTCTTAATTTCCTTAGACTCATCCTTTGCTTTTCTTCTATTCCTTTTAGGGTGCCTTGACATTGATTTCATCTCGAGTGGCAAACATCCTCCTTTTGGCCTCTTCCTCAACACTTCATTCCCTCTGAGGCATTTTAGTGTTATCTCATAAGTTTGAAGGTACTTTTCCCTTTTGTAATACTCATCAACAAAGTACTCAAAACTTCAATCTTTGAATCTGAATGTACAAAGAAAATGTGGACAAAGAATTACAATGAGGTTCCATTCTCTACATGAGCAATTTCTTTCCTGGACATTGACCACATGTGTATACTGTTTATGCCCACCAAACACAGTAAAGTCATTGTCACCATTCCACCAAACATTGCATTGAATTGATAGGTTATTATCATTAATTTTCTTTAAAACTCTAGATACAATATTAGTTGCCTATGTATCAACAAACAATTTTTTATCTTTAGATCTCTTCATGAGCTAGTTAATTAAAGTCATAAACATTGAAATAATAGGCTTACATCCTACACCCAAAATCCATGCATTAACAGTCTCACATATATTATTATCAACCACATCAAACTTACAATACTCATCAAAAAAAGCTTTGCACCATAAATTACCAAGCAGTTCATTCAGTTCAGCATAAGCTTCCTCAGACAATGCCTTCAAAGCATCCATTTTGTCCAGATAGTCGAACTCATTGGTTGCCCTACATGCCAACCAAAATGCAAAGCTTAATGTTATCATCTCTATTTCGCCTTGCAAGATTGCGGTAGAGATGCCTTGCACAATATCTATGCACTATCAATGGTAATACCTTTACTTTTGCATTAATAATGCCCTACACCATAAAAAAAATGAAATTAATTATTAAAATAAACACATTCGTAATCATAAAAAATTAATAATAATTGTGATAAATACTTACTGGATGTCTATTAAAAATCATAGTGTAACCCAGTCCATCGCGTAACTCTAAATCATATGCAAGCTTTTCCATGAACCATTACCAAGAATCATTGTTTTCTGACTCAAAACAACCCATGTAATTGGGTACATCTGATTATTTCTATCTCTACTAACAATAGAAAACGATATACCCTTGCATATTCCCTTACGAAAACAACCCTCATCCCCAGATATTGGTCTGCCTCCTTTTTTCAACCATCACTAACTGCTTTCAAACACACATACATCCTACTA